CAGGCTTTCGATCTTCGCTGTTTTATCGACCGATACCAACGATGAATTATCATTTGGTAGCATGTACACAATCATTGGCAAGTGTGCTAATGTTTTCTGAAATTCATCACTCTACTATTACCCAGGAACTAATTTTTGGGGAAAAAAGTTAATAAAATGACAGCTGACCAAAATACCACCATTGCTGGTTCTCGTCGAATCCTTACTTCTAGCTTTATCAATAATAACGTGTCTCCGCTAAACAAACAACACAATTAACTGACTGGAAACAAATAAAAAACACTGCACGCGAGGAAAAAACATGCATTTTTGCATAATTTCGATCATGCATATCAAATCTACATGCTTGGTTCAAACGCAAATTTGGCCCACATAAGCAAAATTCACCTTATTTTAAAACTTGTTTGGTCGTAGTTTTAAAAATGTGGAAACAAACAGAAAACACACACACATACATATGTACGCATACACATACACATACGCACATACACATGTACACACATAGACTTACATACACGCACACACACACGCTCTCATAAACACATATACATATACACATACATATACACACATGTGCACACGCACGTAAAAACACACACACACACAAAGACAGGATCCTACCGATAAATGCAAAAAGAAGCGCATAAAAAAGTGTTCATTTTTTTCACGAACTTTGAGAGCTTTGACGAGTAATTCGGAAGTTTCTTCAGTGAAATGTGTAAGGATAATGTTATAGGTTTGGCCCATGGATTCGCGCACGCCGATGTGGTAACAGAGGCTGGGCTGTTGCTGTGTGATTGAAACGTCGACAAGTGCCACATCTGCGTTATAAAATACATCGAGAGCATTAGTCTCACCAAAATCAAGACGATCGAAATCCAAGCGCTGAAATCGCAGTGGTATATATATCGAATACACTTTTTTTCTAGTGGAGTGAAAGTCTTGGCGGGAAAACCGCTAACTCGGGAACCAGAAAAGCTAGAAAGCTGAAATTTTGAGTTTATGTCCCCCGCGTAAATAGGACTCAAAGATTTCAAATTCAGCCTCCAGGTGTGCGTGGTTCCCGCGTATGGCTCCGTGCTTCGTCTGATAAAGTACGGCGTAGAGACGAAGAGGGAACGAGAAAAACCTAAAAAAAGAACTTTTTAACGGTGGCGAAATGCTTACAGTAAGATTAACATTAAGGGAATCGGCGACTTTCTGAACATCACTGCATGCCATTTCGCGAGCCTTCATGTTTTTTGCAGCTTTCAGATCCATTATCAAAACAATCTGCAAGAATACGAATAAACTCTCAAGCAAGCGAGTCATGGACGAACTCGTAAACACCGGATCGAGACGTTTCTCAAACTTCAAGACCGCGGACTTATTGATTTTAAGCCAATTTGTGGTCAGAGCCCAGGCAAAAATCAAAAACTTCAAATTTCAACCTGTTCAAAAGAGGCCCGGGAAACGCAAGGATACCTAGGGGTATCAGTATTTCTCACACAGCAACCGCACATTGGTACGGCTGTCGGTAGCTCCACTTTTGAGGCTTCCCCTAAAACTGCGAATCAAAAAGTACTATGTACTTGGGAATGAAATGAGGGAATGGTTTTGCTACTGCAAAAAAATAAATCATCCACGCGAAATAAAGTCGTAACGTTAGGCTGCTGGTATGAAGATGCGTTTTTTGCACAGTTCCCCACAGGTTTTTGTCGATGACGTCCCCGGCAGATGCTTTTAGCTAAAAGAATTAAAACTGGTCACTATGACTGTGAGAAAGCATTTCCTTAGAATTTCAACTTTCTAGCCTATCAGTTTCCCGAGTTAGCAACGTACCTATAAAAAACTTCCACGGGCCCGTACATGCATGTAAATGAAGTTTTCAAAATTTAAGCCTTGTAGCTTTTGCAGATTTCGAGATGAAAAATCGGTACAGACGCATATACAGACAGACAC